GACAATTTGAATCACAGCAAGTGAAACAAGCTAAAAAAAAAATAGCCGTCTAGCAAACAACTCACAAAATTGTAATGAGGCTTTATTGTTGGTATTTCTGGTGTGTTTCTCGTGACTGAAATTTTTTTTTTTGAAATATTGTACATTGAACATAGATTTATGTACGAGACCGCTATTAAATGATTTGAAAATTTGATGATATTCCTATGTATATTACTGGTCATACATAACTATTATGGCGGGATACGAATCAGGCCAAACTAATTCTTCCAAATTAGAAAACAAGGGTATGTGAATTCATAACAAAAAGTATGTTACAAGTTATTGTAGTTATATAAAATATGATCAGGAGTAATAGTTATTAACAACAATAGTACATTACACATTATATTTGTTTATTAAATTCTACATAATACTTGAGGTATTTTATGTCTCCTAAGTACTTGATACAGTATAACATGACCAATAGTGTATTACTATCATTTATATGAAATTATATTAACATAAATATAATTTATTTATGAGGATATTTAATATTTTCTAAAGAGTTGCTACAAGGAAAATACTAGTATGTTGTGACATTTAGTAAATATATTCATTAATATCATATGCATACATATTCGAGTAGGAGGGTGCGTCTTTATGTATGAAAGTATTCATATTTTTATGCAAGTATAATATTGTAAACATGGAAATTTAAGTACTTTTAAAATATATCATTGATTTTTCTTAGATCAAACAATTATTAGTTGATTATATCACACCCACTTTCTCAGAAGTTAACGTGCATTAATAGGTATTTCTAAAATGACTTATAAGGTCACTTATCCATATATTCAAGGATGAATGTGAATGTCACTTAGGATAGATATGATATAACATCATGTGGTAAACTATAGTAATAGATATTTTGAAATTAGTGCATAACTGATAATGCATGATGTACTCTGTATTGTGATTGTGCATGGAAATATTTTTTAAAGTAGAAAGAAACTTCCAACAAGAAGAAATATATTAGAAGGTATAGTAAATAAATGTTACGCATGAGACATATTGGACCCTATGAGAAACATATTAGTTATTGATATGTGCATGCAATGTATCAATTAGTGTTTTCAAAACATTTATTGAGTACACATCTTCTCAATATATATCGAATATGTATAAAATTACTTATAAAGCCTATTGCTCAATACAATTACATTAAATCAATTTAGAATATGTAACTTAGTGAAATAGAGGAACATATATCATTATTTGAGGCATGTGACTTCCAATTAAAGGTCTCTCGACACCCAACCATGATTATGGCTAGCTTAGACGGCTACGGTTTGAATAGATCATTGCAATTTCATCGAATATTGGTGTCTATCAACTAATACTATTGAAATGATCATTGAGATCATTTGCTCATGTATTAAATGACGAATTAGAATATCACATAAGATAGATTTGACCTAAAATATGATGTTTTAGATCATAGTAAAACATATCGATGTGTCAGTAGATAATTTATAAGATATGTCTCGATCCCTACAATCTCCATTGGCTTTGTTCATATGAACATTTTGTAGATTAGGAAAAATATCCAAAATGATAAAATGTGTTAAAAGATAGAAAGTAAATATTATGCACGAGACATATTAGAACTATCCACACTATAAGTAAGCATTTTTCATTGAGGTATACATTGAACCTGTCCATTAGTGCTTTCAGGACAGTATGGTGAGTACACATCTTTTCACTACATGTCAAATATTAGACTTTCCCACACTATAGGGAACATATTAGTCATTTATGCACACATGTCACCGGTCCACTGATATTTTCAAAATAATTTGGTGAGTACACATATTCTCAATATACGTTAATTACGTTTAAAGTCACTTAGAGATCCTGTTCCTTGTACGACTAGATTCAATTAGTTCGGAGGTATATAAATTAGTGAAATTAAGGTACAAGTAGCATCATTGGGGGCATGTGGTATCGGCGTAGGGATTTGTCAACACCCAATCATGAATTATTATCAACCTAAGTATATTATTTACTTATGCGGGTACTTGTGCTATTCCAGTACATCTGTGCATGTGATCTAAGTGTCCAAGTTACATACAAATGTATATAAATTAGTGAAATGAATGTAAAAATATTACTATTGGGGGTATGTGGTCTCATCCTAGGGGTTTTTCGACACCCAATCATGGAATCTTTCAACCTATCATGTATACAAACATATACATGACCATAATGCAAGTACACACAGAATACCTCTTAAAAAATAATACGTTACTTTAATATAGTCGGTGATCAGCAAAGTCTACGTCAAAATATAACATCAATGGCTAAGTATCCCTATTTAGCCACAAATCTCAACTATTCATCAATCCGATTGTAACAAATCACACCCCAATAATTCAAATTGTACTAGAAATATCCTTTGGGGCATTGTCGGTAGTCCCTTTACTTTGTTGAGTGTTGGAATGCGCTTGTTAATCCAAGTTTAAAATGAAGAAAATTAATCATTTTAATAATAATAGACTATCTCAATTTTTTTCACCTAAATACATAAATTAAGGACGTACTAACAAACCCACTGTGCATCTAGTCAACTAAGTCTTCTCATATTTGAAGTCCCGCATGGATTTCAGTGGGTACTGATGACATACGATCCCCCGAACGTGGTCACCCAATGAGTTCAAGTCATCAACATATCCCAATAAAAATATTGGAACTCGATAGTTTGTGGTTGTAAACAAAATATTGGCAAATACAAACAAAGTATACAATCTGAAAAACTCATCAATGGCCACAACGTTGTTTTCAGCTGCCATAGTTTCTTAAACAAATACAAGTTTATAGCATAGCTACAAAGGTAAGTAATCTCTTATTTGAGGCATATCAATTAACAATCAAGGCATACCAAAAAAAAATAGAAAACATTCATAAACAATATAAAGAAAAAACAAAATTTTCAATAATCGATAAAAATACATCTATATCCAACACCATGACAGAGGTATTATGACATCTCAGCCCGCAAAGTCAACACTAGTCCTTCCAGCACGCTTCTGTTCTCACTCACGCGCACCCTAGGAGACTTCCCAGGAGGTCATCCATCCTCAAATTACTCTAGAGCAAGCACGTTTAACTTTACGGTTCTTTCAGTAGGGCTTCCGAAGAGGAATGTGCACATTGTTGACATGAGTAGTCTATTCAATCCATTTTAACTTCTAATCTACTTCGGATGACCTAATACTGACTCATCAACACACCGGAGTTAGTCAAGCAACGACCCAACTCTGAGGGGTATCACATCCTTCTGCACTTTAGAATTCAATATCAATATTGCACCCCAAGGATCGTCAACTGCTAGGCCCCTCAACAGTCAGGTCAACAACTGTGGTTGTCGCAGGTCGGCTCTGATACCAATGGTGACACCCTGGCCCGCAAGCTATCAAAGTCGAGCGTGTTGAGATTATAGACTGACCCCCCCCCCCCACAAGTCAACATGAGTTTTTCCAGCGGGGTGTCCGCAAGCTATGCAAAGCTGGGCGAGTCGAGATTATAGACTGACCCCACAAGTCAACACCACCCTGAGAGACTTCCCAAGGGGTCACCCATCCTCAAAAAGCACACTTAACTCTAGAGTTCTTTCAGTAGGACTTTCGGAAAAAATATATGCACATTATTGACGTAGTCTAATCAATCCATTTAACCTCTAATAAACTTCGGATAACCTAATATCGGCTCATCTACACACGAGAGTTGGCCAAGCAACGACCCAACTTCAGAGGGTATCACACATACGTCCAGCATTTTAGTACTTAAAAATCAACTTACAAGAAAAAAGTTGCTAACAATATTTGGAAAAAGAAGGGAGAACCACTTGTCTCACATCTCAATCATTTTACTATAAATGTAAAGTTATAAAAGTAAAAATGAAAGTACTTCTATAGCCAATAAGATCATTTACAATTTCAAACACATCAAAATAACTCATATTCGAACTGATGGTATGATACGATGTCAAAGTAAAATGACTTGTCACCGAGGTCAAATCCAACCGAGGTACAAATAAAATAAATCCAAATACACCATGAACTCAGAAAATGGATTATACAATAAACATAAATTTTAACTTACTTTTTTGAACTCCACTTCGGGAAGAAGAACTTCTTTGACATCTCAACTGCAATTGGAGCTCTCGGCGACGAAGGGAGATTTCCGACAGCGGAGAAAGTTTCTACGGAGAGGCTCAACGAAGATTACTTCAGCAGAGAGCTTCAATGACAAGGGGCAACTTGAGAGGGAAAGAGTTCGGAAGAATAACACATTCACAATTCCGGATGATGAGTTTTGTTTAATTTTTTGGGTTAAGTAACTGATTTCAGTAATAAAATTCGAGACATATTACTCTCAAAATTTTCTTTGCACAAATAGATAAATTTGGAGTGTGTAATTAGATAATGTAAGTTTATATTAAAATAACAAAAACACATATAATATTCATTAAATTATATAGTAATTTAAGGGGTAAAATGACTACTAAAAAGTCAAGTGTAAATTAAAATGAAAAATAGTGAGTGCCTTATTTTATCAAAATGGGGAGGACCGAACTTAAATGATTTTTAGTTGAGAGGAATTTAAATTCAAGTTTTCCTTAATAATATTAATATTGGTAGTTTTAAAATAAATTTAATATATATGATTAAAAATAATTAGAATACATATTTAAATATTTTAAAAATAATTGTAATAGAAAATAAAATTTTATAAAAACACATTTATTTTTTTTGAATGAAACAAAGAGATTTTAAATGAACATGTACCTATACTTTGATTTATATTTAGTAAATATATTTGATTTAATAAATTTTATCTAACTATCATGGGAAACAAAAATAAAAATGAAAATGTATATTGAAAATCGGATTTGAAAAAGCGAAAACTCCATAGAAGCTTGAAAGAAACGTCTGTCTTTAAAACCCTAAAGTTTGTCTCCATTGTAAATATTTATAGACATATAGCAGAGAGGGCAACATAGGGCTGAAATTCAGGTTCCAAATACTTGGTCGCAAAATGACCTCAGCCACCGTCACCTCCACCTCTTCCGCCGCCACCGTGTTCAGGTCCGCCGCCGATGCCTCCTGTCGGAAGGTTTCTCCCATAATCAGTGTCCAGTTTCTCCCCGCGCGGAGCGCTACTGCCTTTCTAAAGATGAGTAGGATGATTAGTGATTCTATTCGTAACGCCACCTGTGTTTCGTATTCATCTAGTTCTTCCTCTTCTGTTGTTAATGGTAAGATTGTGTTACTGATGTATGCTTGATTTCGCTTGGAATGCACGCAATTGGTGTTTATTAGATAGGTTTGTTTCCTAAGGTGATTGTGTAGTGCTTGAATCGATGCTGACGAGCTTTTTCTTTGATCGTCAAATTGATGCGCAAGTGTACATTTTGGTAGGCTTTAGAAGTATAAGTAAACCGACTAAATAGGAGCTAGAAGAGTGCTTTTAATATGAGTGAATTGATTGCTGTGAGGAATTCTTAAAGTAATGCTTAAAGCTAAAGTGAACAAAGTTTCTAATTGATAGCTTCTTAGATGATTAATGAAGATAGTTCTTGTTTATACCTTGAAATCTCACCAGATATTCAGTTTCCACTTCATCTTATGGTGTTGAGAGCTTCATTGTTACTTATATTTGTTGAGAGCTTCATTGTTACTTATATTTAGTGTCTCTACAATTGTTCTGTGCCATTTCAGCTGAAGCCAGATATTCCTTATAATTTTCTTCTATATATAAGTGTGTGCCTTCGTAAGGCTCTCTCGTGTCTTCTGATTTCCAATGTTTTTGCAGCTGCAATGGCCACTGAGGCATCTGCGAAAGTTATTGATGGAAAATCAGTTGCCAAACAGATAAGAGAGGAAATAGCTGTTGAAATATCTAAGATGAAGGAATTTACAGGGGTTGTTCCTGGATTGGCAGTAATTCTTGTTGGAGACAGGAAAGATTCTGCAACTTATGTCCGCAATAAGAAGAAAGCCTGTGAATCTGTTGGGATCAAGTCATATGAAGTCCATTTGGCTGAAGATGCCTCCGAGCAAGAAGTGCTCAACTATATCTCAAGTTACAATGATGATCCTTCAGTTAATGGCATTCTTGTTCAGTTGCCTCTACCTTCTGTAAGTCTTCATGCTATGCCATTATTATTGGTGAATTTTTATCCCATTATGAAGTGTAGACGATTTATTAATTTGGATTGTGGGATAAGGGTCTTCATCTGGAGGACTATTTCATGAGTTCTACTGAGGTCTTGTAATGGGTCTTTATCCTATAAACGAACATGTAATCGCTCCAAATCAATTTACTTATCAGTTATCAAGATAACTCTTAACGTGAATATAGTTTTTTAGAGGATATGCACCTGATGTACTAATAATAGCATGTAAAAACCTGATAAGTATTAAGTGGACTAAGAAAATTCTAGCGAATGTGAGGAATTACCCGACATTCTGTCTGTGCATCCTCATTGACTTTCCCAATCTTCACACAACTGTAACTCTAGCCAATTATGCAATAAATTTCTTTTATTGGCTTAATAAAATCTGTAGCGATGAATATATAATAGTTTCCCTGTTAAAATGAACCTGGAAACAATTTATATGCTTTTCTCATTTGGTACTTGCTTTTGTATATTTATTATTCTGTTTGGTTTGTATCCATTTTTCCAGCATATAAATGAACAAAAGGTCTTGAATGCCGTTTCTATTGAGAAAGATGTTGATGGTTTCAATCCTCTAAATATTGGTCGCCTGGCCATGAGAGATCGAGTTCCATTATTTGTTCCATGTACACCCAAAGGATGCATAGAGTTGTTACATAGATACGGTGTAGATATTAAGGGAAAGAGAGCTGTTGTCATTGGGAGGAGCAACATTGTTGGGATGCCCGCTGCTCTTCTTTTGCAAGTAATATTCCAACTTTCTACTTCAAGGAATTTAAGCAACTTTGTTTTTGCTTCCATGTAATTGTAACATCATTCCATAATTCCTGTTTGCATTGTCAGCGAGAAGATGCTACCGTTAGCATTGTCCATTCAAGGACGAAAAATCCCGAGGAGATCACAAGAGAAGCAGACATATTAATCGCTGCTGTGGGGAAGCCAAATATGGTGAGAGGTAGCTGGATCAAGCCTGGCGCTGTCATCATCGATGTTGGAATAAATCCTGTTGAGGTCTGAAACTTATGAACTCTGCTGTGTTTACAGTTACTTTTCACGACACTTTCGACACCCAAACACCACCTAGACTGCTTTTTGCTTATTTCCATCATGCACTTTTTACAACAGTTCAATCATTTTGTTCTTCCTTCTCACTCCTCTGGAGTGCCTTCATTCTTTTTAGCATTGATTTATTTCTTGATAATTGAATCCTTAATATTATATCTTGAGTTATCCATATACTTATCTCCTTTCGATTAAGGATACCCTTAGGCTGTGTTTCCTACCCGGAACTATGGATGATTATTTAATATTTATAATTCTTCCTATTTCTAATTACTGCTATTGTATATTTTATTTTCTTTGCTTCAACATTACTTAAATACAAAATTTCTTATTTTGCCACTCATATGGTTTATTCGGACGTGCCAGGATGCCACAAGCCGTCAAGGTTATCGCCTTGTTGGGGACGTATGCTACGAGGAGGCTAGTAAGATTGCTTCAGCTATCACCCCAGTTCCCGGGGGAGTTGGGCCCATGACAATAGCAATGCTTCTGTCGAACACCCTTGCTGCAACAAAACGAACCTACAGTTTTGAATGACATCTCACAGGTCAGTCAGATATGGTAAGGGTAACGGACACGGTAACTGTAATGAGTCATATAATAAGTAGATTCAGTGGTGCTACCCAACAATGTATGTTGAAAGCATGAATTAGCATTTCTGTAGGGAAAAAAAGAACAAAAGATATGGAGGTCTATGATGTTTGCTTGAACAAGAAGATGCTCTAAGGTGTTAAATCACTATTGCATAGGATCCATTCATTCCATTGATGGAGTTTGATTTTTTTTTTTTTTTTTTTAATTATATAAAAAAAGTAGTGCACACAAATTAGTTTGTATGCTCGGTATTTTTTGTTTTAGATGTTTTTGTTGTTAGATAGGGAGAATTGTGATGATATAAAAAATAGTGTTTTTTTTTTTTTTTTTTTTCTTTTGGATGGGAACCTAAGCCGCTACCTGAAAGTGGGCACTGAGTAAACTCCCGGATGAACTCAATACCCAGCAAATCAGGTTCGACGAATAAGTCACACTAGGCAGACCATGTGTGGCAGGTGACCTGAAGCATCGGAGGTTTGAACCCATGACCTCACGATCACAAGTCCAACCACCTAGACCATCATTTACGAAACTATTAAAAAAAAATGGTGTTTTGTTTGTTATTATTATTATTATTATGTTTTAACTGTATGTATTTGTTAGGTAATATTTTGGCTTGGAAGAACTAAATCTGTGTTCCATGCGTGTTTATGTACCTCTGAAATGTAGGGAATTCGGTATATTCACTTTGTATTGGTTTAGAAATAATAAAAATTTGAATGCTAATAGATTTCTAAAAAAATTTGAATGCTAATAGCGTTGGATGTAATGTTTTTTTAATGAATATTTTGAATAATATCAAATAAAAAATATTTTTTCCGTCGATCTATTATTCTAGTCTTCTTTATCATCTTTACGTTAAGTTTATTTTATTATTTTGTAAAAAAAAAATTTAAAAAATAATATTTAAATTTATCTCTATTCTGTGCCAACATAGATGGACTAATTTTACTGGACTATAGAGTAGTAGCTGTGTGATTTAAAAAATAAAAAATAAAAAAATAAAAAAAAATTTTAATGTTGTACTACCAAATCAAATTAGGGATGATAAAGGATGAATTTGAAACAATTGTATAGGCGACATAACCTGTCCCGCCAAGAAACCTTAGGCCTCATAACATGTCCATCTAAAACCTGGGTGGTACGGGGTTAATTCGAAAAATCCATCTTGATTTTTAAAATGTACTTTTTTTTTCGAAATATAATTATATATTTTAATTATATTTTAAAATTCATAATTTATACTCCCTTCGTCTGCTTACAAAATTTACATTTTTAAATTTTGAACTGTCAATTTTTTCATTTTGAACTGTCAAATTATAAAGTTTACATTTCCTTTTTTTTAGTAAGTATGGTTCCATCCCGTATTACTCATACCCTTACTTTTACACTTATTTACACAAATACCATTAAAAAAAAAAAGTAAAAGTACTATAGGGGTGTTTTGGTCTTTTTACATTAAATTTATCATAACTATCATTAAAATACAATATTTCTTAAACAACGTACAAAAAGTAAATGTCATCTTTATAACTGGACGGAGGGAGTATTATTTATTTAATTAAATTATTTAATTATCTTAATTTTAATATATATTTATTTTTATTATATCATAATTATTTTTACTGATACATACTAAATACATAGTATCTAAAATTTCATGCCTAACATGATATCTAATGCACCCCGAGCCCCAAAAGAAATTTCATTATGCATGTTATCCTTGAAAAAAAGGGTGTGGTTTCTTAAGTAAAATTCATCTTGATTTATAAAATGTAATTTCTTTTTATTTTAAATATATATATATACATATATATATGTTTGAAGTGTCACACGCCAACAACAGAACAATATCACGTAAAAAAAAATAAAAACATGACGTGCCCCGATGTTAAGGCTAAAACATCATAATAGCGAATGTAAATGTTATTCTTTTCAAAAAATTTAAAATACATTTTCCAACACCCTTAAGCATTTCAAAAACATGTAATCGTAAGAATTCTCTGCATGTATTATAAAGTCTCAATGCACTTCAAAATAAGGAGCATGTAAAATCATAAGTTCGAACATTATCAGATAAAAAGTCATGCATGCTCGATAGAGTCCCATCCTTATGATGCATCAAGTGGATGAATGTCCAGAAATCAACTCTGTATGAAAGAGGGTAGTAAACATCAGTTAAAGCTAAGTAAAGAATTAAATATGCAATGCACGAAATAATTTACCAACAATAAATGATAGTCATACAACAACTACAACTTGCCAAAATTCATGGCTCAAAACACATTAACCGACTTGTCAACCAACGGCTATATCTAGCCAAATTCAAGATTTAACAAATTATGAATCGACTTGTTAATCAACAGCTAAGTCTAATCAAATCCACGACATACACAAATTAATGAATCGACGGCTAAGTCTAGCCAAATCCACGGAATACACAAATTAATAAATCAATTTGTCAATCAACGATTAAGTCTAGCCAAATCCAAGGCATACACTAATTAATAATCGACTTGTCAATCAACGGCTAAGTCTAGCCAAATCCACGGAATATACAAATTAATAATCGACTTGCCAATCAACGGCTAAGTCTAGCCAAGCCCACGGCATACACAAAACAATAGTCGACTTGCCAATTAATGCCTAAGTCTAGCCAAGTCCACGGCATATACAAATTAATAATAGACTTGTCAATCAACGGCTAAGTCTAGCCAAATCCACGGCATACACAAATTAATAAATCGACTTTCCAATCAACGGCTAAGTTTAGCCAAATCCACGGCTTACAAAAATTATGAATTCTTAATAGCAAGTTCACCATATATCACATAATAAGGTATAATTATAATAGCCTATTTATCTGAGGTACATAGTTAGATGGTCAATCATTTCAAATAAGTATAATTTAACCCGTTACCTTACTTAGGGAAGTTTACCCAACTTTACTACCACCGACTTGCAGGACTTGGTTCGGTCAGACTTCACCTAATCATCAAATTCGATCAATCAACTTACTTAAATTTAGTACAGATTTTATAAAATTTACTATAAATTCATTGTTGGCTCAAACATTATGAAACTAGTGCCAACATATAGAAAATGTTCCTAAGTTTACATATTGATAATAACAACTTTAAAATATTTAGTTAACAAAACATCTAACGGGTCAACTAGATTATGTATCGAGTATTACTGTATATGTCTAATTGGGGTGGATCGAATTGGACAAAAAATTCAACAAATTCTTAATCTGATTTTTAGTCCAAGTGGCTGGGTTCATTATCACCTATATTTTTTTATTATTTACCTGCACAAAAGGAAAATACATACTATTAGTCTTAAAACATTAACTTAACCTAACAACTACACTAAGCAGTTCAAGACTAATCAAAAGTATCACAATATATATTTTTCATACACGATACAAATTTATTCACAAGCAAACTTTAGTACCTATATCAACAAGATTATATTCAGAATGAATATTTTTCAATTTTTTAATACTCCCTCCGTCCCAACTCAGAGTATCGTGTTTACCATTTTAGTCAATCTCACTCCAAAGTATCTATTTTCTATTTTAGTAAAAGTAATTATACACTAATACTAAAATACCCTTAATTTTCACTTAAATTACAGGCATACCATTACATATATAAGTACTTTTTACATAATGTCAAATGACAAAATGTCAAAACCTCTTGCACACTTCTACTAACTAATAAAATACTATTATTTCTTAATCTACTATAAAACCCCAAATGGCCCATTTGGACCGGGACGGAGGGAGTATATATTTAGAATAAATATGTTCAAAGTAATTATTACATTGCAACTTCTTTTATTCTTCATCATTTTGGACGTAAAAAGTTGTAGTGTAATTATTACATTGCAGCACCTTCTCTTTAGCTGCATTGATCACAACCGCTATTCTTTTTCCTACGGTGACTTTTTATTTCTCTATACCATATATATATATTTTAACATTATATGTTTTACCCATCCCTTATTATGAGAATCATCGGTGAATTTAGGTTAGCTTGCAACAAAATCAACAGAATAGAAGAAAAGAGACAACATTAAGATTTCAGCCGTCCTCTACGGAACAAAGGTAAATAGTGTATTCTTCTTCCACTAGCTTCGTGTTAAGTTCCAAAATAAAACTATTATTAATTTTTTATTATTTTTGTATTTTTCTAACAACAGCTCCTACACGATATAACAGGAGAAAAAATAAACTAGCAAACTCGCAACAATGAAGATAAACAAATTCAAGATCATTAGAGGAAGCAACAGAACTAAAAGAATTAACTTTAGAGGAAAGAGGGAAGAAGAATCTTTTTTTACCAATCTGAAATATCTTTTATGACCTACAGCTTCACTGATCAAACAAAAGTGACGATATAGGAAGAAAAAGAAAATAAGAAAAAAAGGATGAGTGAAGGTGAGATAAGACGAAAAAGAGAGAGGACGATGGAAGGAGCCGGAGAGAGAAGCCGTCGATTTGGATGTCACTACTGTTGCGAGCACATACACTAGCCAATTAAAAGCCTTCATTTGCTTACGTGTATCTGATGTGTCAATTCTAATTTAGTATGTATCAATTTTCATTTCCAAAAAAAACAGAGTAGCTATTTTCCTTTGGTCCTTCGAAATTCTTTCTCGAAATATTCATCGAACACAATATTCACTCCCAATCTTCACCAAATCTTTCATCTCAATCAAACCGGCAATCCATCCCAATTAAACCATCAATTTTTGGCGTCTAAAGGAGGTTGGCGACGGAGAACCTGTATCCTATCAATCTCCCAATCTTCGCCAAACCCTTCATCCTAATCAAACTGGCAATTCATCCCAATCAAATGGGCGATTGCATCTAAAGGAGGTGGGCGATGGACAACCTGTATCCAATCGATCTCCCAATCTTCACCAAGCCCCTCATCCCAATCAAACTGGCGATTCATCCCAATCAAATGGGCAATTTCCGGCGTTTGAAAGAGGTGGGTGAAGGACAACCTATATCAAATCGAATCTCCGGTGAGATCTTGTTGTCAATTTCTCTTGTATTCTCTTCTTATCTTCTATTTCTATTTGAGTACCTCCAAATAATTTTAGATCTCATAAGTGTTCATAGACAGCTTGATAACAAAAACTTTGGTGGCTATCCAATACCGTGCTCATATGGAAACATATCTATTTTGTTGGTGTTGTAAGTGAATGCATTATTCTCTTTATTCCATTCTATGCCATCTATTATATGCAATATTTGAGCAATTTTTCAATTTTTCAAACGCTCTCCTTTCTTTATGTTTAAATTTTTCTCACAAGTTATGAGAAGGAATGTGCACGAATTGTATTCTTAGATATATATATATATATAATTATTCTTTCTTAACAATCTTCTTTATTGTATGTATTAGGAGTACGAGGATTTCCGATTCCTGATTGAAGGAATAGTCCACATATTGCTTATATGTAAGTATGTGGACATTAGAATAGTCTAAGTTATTACTTTCTGCTCAATTGTCCCCTATCAAAGTTGTTTGGTGTGGTTTTTTTCTACCTCTTAAACAATATATGTACAAACTATCTATTTTGGAAGGTAGATTGTATTTTTGTGAAAGGGTGTTATCAAACCTTTTGTATTTGTGAAAGAAAGAGCACCTCTTGTAGGAGGTAGATTTGCATATTTATAGAAGGAAGTTATCAAACATGTTTGTATTTGTTTTTTCTTGTCTCAACTCCGCTAGCTCACTTATCTAACTAGTCATTCCTCTTATGGGTTGATCTATTCAAAACATTTTTAAAACTTCATGTTAACCAGTGGCATACCACATCCTTTTATTTATCTTATCTTTATATATATTTTTTTTCATTTAATAATTTTGCCATTTTGGATTTTAGAGATTTGAGTTTCAACCAGCTTAATGGAACAATTCCAAATGGTAGTATTTCTAAAAATATTACCACTATGTAAGTTCCTATATTGCTTTGAACTTATGAAAGGAAATATAATGTTTTTTAAAGTATAAATTTGCTTAAATTATTGTATAATTGTTCATGCAGTGATCTTTCAGTAAAAAATCTGGCTAGAACTATTCCCACCAACTTTTAAGCCTCTCAGTTTACAAAAACTGTGAGCTACCATTCATGGATTTGCTCTATTTTAATTACTTACCAGATGCAGTGAACTAAAGAGACACAATCCAATCAATTCTCTTTACAGGTAAGTAGCAAATAATTTATTAAATTACTCCATTCCATCAAGCATATGGCAAGACATGATATTAAATTCATCCGAGTCACTTATTGTGTAAACTCCAAATAAATTATAACCATCAATAAGTTTGTGTAATAATACATATGAACTGAATCTTGTTGCTTGTACCTTTGTGAATATTGCAGGGATTTTGGGTACTTTTATACCTTTGTAGGTTCATTAATTTATACTTTTACAGGTCTATTAATTTGAAGGGAACTTTGTGTATTTTTTACCTCAATCACTTTTTTTTTTTTGTAAAATGTTTCACTAAGAACAATAAAATTCTCATTGAGTTCTTCTTTAAAGTTCACTTTAATAGTTCAAGAACTATTATGTCAAAATTTCCTAATGACAGTTGGCATACAAACAATAGTCTCTTATTATCTTTTTTAGTGGTTTTTCTTTTTTCAATAGTGCTCGATGCTATAGTAGCGAATTTACTCATGCAATTCCTTTGATTAAGAATACTAGCTTTTCTATATGTGTTATCTCATCTTAATTTTTGAACCTATAGTTTTCCATGAGACTTGCTTTACTAGCATCGTTGCCTACTTCATATAGAGGCAGAGGTGGTTGTGTAATGTTTATTGATGTTGAATCCAAATTTAGTTCAAGAAGGTACCTATCTACTACATAGTTACTATAAACCAACACAATGTCTAAGCCTACTTATTATAGTTGTTAATTGTATAACTTATGCAGGTAACTTTTTAAGAGATAAACGGTGTGAATAGGCATAGCTCATTTGCTTATATTCAATTCATTGTTATATTTTCCCTATTCCTTACAATTAAAAGCAAAACAAATATAATATTTTTTTTTTTTTGTTTTTTGACAAGTTTGTACCTCTTGTTGATGTACAATTCACTGCAAGGCAACAACATACCTGGACAATTCTATGTCTTTATTGCATGGAATTGCAAGGCTGCAAGCATATGAATACATCATTTATTTATAGCTTTTAATATATATATATATATATCTATCTTCCTTTGTAAAATGGTTTTCAAGATTGAGTAAATTGTCAATTCTTCCAATTGGTTGTGTGAGAATATGCATTAATTTTCTTACATAAAGTAGGTGGTAGAGTTGTCTCGGGGAAAATAATTTGACTTGTAATAATAGTGCATCAAACCATTAATGTATTGTACCATTGTTCTATTGGTTGGAAAATTTTAGTTTGCAGAAGCATGTCAAGTATGTGTGCAGATTTTTTTCTTTTGATCCTTCTATTACTACAATGTGTATTAATTGCAAGTCTTGTACATTTATTTCCCTTATATCAATCACTTGAAATCCTTTCATATCTATAAATGCCCATTGTATTGAAGATTGGTTGTTGGATCCCATATTATAAAAAACGTATTGCTATAACTTAAGGCTTACACACATTTTTATCTTCAATTGAACAAGTGAATTTACCTTAAATTTGCTCCATTCACCCCAACGTATGGTTAGTGATGATGATGGTGGTCAACATGTCGACAAAACATTATACTTTCAGTCGATGGTTCAAGAGAGTGATTACAGGAGAATACGGAGGAAGCTTTTACTACTACAGCTTGAACGTGATCAACTCGAAATATTACAACACTCGTTGCCTTTTATTTTTTATGTTGCAACTAGAGGTGCACCTTAACGAAGGAATTAGATCTACCGTGATCGTGAAGGAAGACATGAAGAGTTATGGAACGACTATCTATCTGAGACTCCTCGTTTTCCTTAATCATGTTTCCGGCGGAGATTTTGCATGCGTCGTGAGGTATTTACCAGAAGTTTACATGATGTTTGCAATCATAGTTGCTACTTCACACAATGGGCTAATTGTACTAATCCAATGGGCCTTTCACCGCTGCAAAAAAGTGATGGTCATTGTGCATGTTCTTTCTTATGGATGTTATTTTGATAGCGTTGAAAAAGTAGTAAAGATTGGGGGCACAACAGCTCAGAGGGCAACGTTGGAGTTCTGTGATTCGATTATTGAACTTTATAAAGAGCAATATTTACGTGATCCAACTACTAAGGATCTTGCGTGTCTCTTATCTGAAAACAAACTGCGTAGATTTCTCATGATGATTGGCTCGCTAGACTGTATGCATTGGCGATGGGATGCATGTCCCATTGCTTGGCGCGGCCAGTACAATGGACGTTATGGATACCCAACGTTGATATTGAAGGCTACTACATCTCAGAATCTATGGATATGACATGCATTCTTGGGGATGCCGGGAACAAATAATGATGTAACCATTTTTTATCATTTGCCGTTATTCAAAAAATACATGGACGGCACGGTACCACCAATTGAGTACGAGGTAAACGAGACATTGTACAATTTGCCATATTATCTGACAAATAGAATATATTCTAAGCATGCCATCTTTATGCAAGCCATCAAAAATCCAATTACCACTAAGGAAAAAATGTTTACAATTTCGCAAGAGGCTTGTCGGAAAGATATCGAGAGGGCATTTGGAGTACTCAAACAAAAATGGCAAATTTTGCAGATTTTGGCAAGGCTGTAAAAAACAAACGATCTCCTCCGAGTGATGACCACATGTGTTATACTATACAAATTGAACGTGGAGGATGAGCGTGGCCAAAACCCTCCCAGAATGGAGACCAACAAACGAAGAAAATCAAACTGTACCACAACACGAGCAATCAGTTGATGAAGTTCGCATACTCTTTCGAATAAGGCTAGGAAGAATTCGTAATATATCTCATAAATCCTCAGTGGATGCTTTCAGAATGTAAGAACATATCTTAAAAGCTCTCCGATTAATGCCGTTAAGATGCATTATAAGAATGGTTGGCGGAAGATTATGTCATTGTGAGGATTTATAGTTGGATTGTGGCCACTTAGTCTAGTAGGTTATCTCGTTCAGGGATCTGTTATCTTGTTTTCCTACTTATTATAAAATTTAGGCAAAATAGCAAAAAATCCCCCTGTGATTTTTCGAAATTGCTGAAAACCCCCCGTGGTTCTAAAACTCCAAAAAACCTACTTGTGGTTTCCAAAATGTTGCAAAAAATCTCCCCTCCGTTAGGATTTAACGGCGGTTGTATATCACGCGCCTGAAATGCGATTTTTGGTCCATAAAGTGATATATTTATGTGTAAAATTACTAAAATACCCTAATGACTTCTTTCTTCTCCCTCGTTCTTCTTCTTCCTTATTCTTCGTCTTTCTTATTGTTATCCATACTTTCAGAATTAACTCTCAATTCATTTTTTTTTAAATTTAAAATCCGCTAAACACAACCAAATTCGAAACCGATCCCAAATTTATCGCAATTAATCGACCGAACATGGATCTTCTTCTATTTTACCAAACCCAGAAATATTTCTTCTTGTATTTTACAAAACCCAGAAATAGCAAACCCAAAAATTTAAGAAATCAATTTGACATCAAGATTTAAAATCAATCTAAGAAGAAAGAAAGAAAGAAATTAGGGTACGGACGAATTAGGGTGAAAAAATAAAAAAGAAAGAAAATTGGGGAAAAAAAGAGAGAGAAAGAAGAAAGAAAAACCTGGTTGCTTCTGGTTGCAACGGCATACGGAAGAATTGGAGAGAAAAAATAAAGAAGAAAGAAAATTGGGGAAAAAAGAAATAGAAAAAAAAAAAAACTGGAGAAAAAAAAAACTGGTGTCCAACCCTTCTTCCTCCTCTTCTTCTTTTCCTCCTCTTCTTTCTTCTCTTTCTTTTCTTCCTTCCTTCTTCCCTATTCCAGCCGCTTTTGCCCATCATCTTCTTTCTATTCTTATTCTTTTCCAATTCTTCATTCTTCAAAGAAGAATTGGAGATGAAGAAGAAAAAAAAATTGGGGGAAAATAAAGAAAAGTAAGAACCGGTTGGAACTGCTACGACGTGAAAAAGAATTAGAGAAGAAAAAAAAATTTGAGGAAAAAGATGTGTGAAGAAGAATTTGGGGAAGAAAAGAAGATGGAAGAAAGAAGTTGGGGAGAAGAGAAGAAGAATGAACCGAAGAAGAAATAACAGAAGAAGAGAGAGAAATAAATTAAAAAATATATAAGTAAGGGTATAACTGTCAAGTTTGATAAAATTTAACATCTGTTAGTCAAATTTAAAGAGGGGGGAGAGTGTGCAACATTTTGGAAAGCACAAGTAGGTTTTTTGGAATTTTAAAACCACGGGGGGTTTTCAGCAAATTCGTAAAATCACAGGGGGATTCTTTTGCTATTTTGCCTAAAATTTAACTAACTTAACGGTCCCTGCATTCTATATTATTCATAGTTATATTAGAAAACTTATACATATTGGATAAGTAAATATGGATAATTACTAATATTCCTTGGAAACAAATGGGTATTTTGTTTTATAGTTATTATGTTCACATATAGATATGGATAAATAGACCTTTATAACATTAAACTAGAGCAGCAAACTCGAAAATAGCATGGAATTTAATTTTTTTTTTTTTAAATAATGGATGCTATAAATAAAAAAAGTAAAATAAATATGACGACAAATTTCACTCGTATTCAAGAGACTTTTGCATGCCCCACCACAAATAAGCGTATTGAAGCAAATTCTATTCAACAAAAATGCAGCTTAGAAAAGATTTTCACATCCTCTATTTCAGTTTGTTTTTGTTTCTTCCATGATTACAAACCAAAAATAAGACAATATCTGTCCCAAAAATAACCAAAGCTCCTACTTGAATGTCTGAATGTGCAAAACAAAAATATGCATTCTCTAGATGTACCTTCGATTAAAACCGAAGAAAACTCCGACTAATCCCACACATCAGCAAAAAATAAAATATTTAAGATGTATGCTTTAAGGCTGCAAGAGAGACCAAAAATGTTGCTGCCATTGCAACTAAAAGCTGATGTTCTCAAGGCCTGATTCTCGGCTACATTTTCTACCTCCATTCGATAAAGCACTTGATTCACCGACATCCACAGGTGGGGAATTCGGTATCTTGATGCTCGCAATTGCTGCCTTGAGTTCTGGACATTGCTACTATTTTATATCCAAACATCTTTGTTTTTACAATTACAACAATATGAAACCATAAAAAGAAAGCAAACGTACCATTGTGAACATTGGTGTAGTATTCCAACTGTTCGTATCAAATACTCTTTTCTAGAAACTTCAGTTAAGAGATCTTCTAGATCCATATCTGTAAGCCTGCGGAATGTACGTATAATCTTCTCACCAATGTCCGCCATCTCCTTAATTAGTAGACTTTTTTCTCTAGCCGTATCAAGGTTATGCTACGATGTACATAGAAAAACGTCAAGTGGGAAATGTTAATGCATTGGAGAGTAGAACAATTACTAAAATTGTGGACGTAATGTAAGGCCCATATATAATTACCTTATTATTTACTCTTTTGGACATGCGTTCATAGTGCTCGTCCATCTTTTTCTCTGTTCTTAATTCATCCTCCTCCATTCTAGACCATCTATCATTCCGTGACGAATAAAGTGCCATAAAACTTGTAGTTATCGTTCGAGTAACTGAGGCTTGAGACTCTTCATATTGTTTGATTCTACGTTGCCATTGGTTGGTTATTTTGGTACTAGCCTTTGCTTTCTTAACACTCATTGGACGCTCGAGACTCTATTGCAGCAGACCCACTTAGTTTGTTGTGACCAGCTTGTCCACCCGAAGAATCTATATCTATGTGTGCACCCCCAATTGAGGTGTCAATTGGGGTCATTGGTGTCTGCACATCAAACGATCCTTGCACCGAACGTGGTTCCCCATTTACAGCATTCTCACAATTACTCGACCGCTCTCTTGGTCGGCTCTTCTTCCCATTACCAAACTTAAACCACTTAGGTTGATCTTTTAGGACATTCCAGCAAGCCTCGTGTTTGAACTTTGCTTTGTGTTTTTCCTCAAAAGTGACATTGCAAAAGTGTTCTTGGCGTTAAAGAGTGACACCCTTAGAAAAAACATGTATGTTAAAAATACCATAACTCGAAAAAATAAATTAAATAAACTTACAAAATCAGCTGGACTCCAGCCGCTTCGATAATGTCAATCTGCTTGAACTCATATTGTGGTTCACTTAGTGCATTGGGCTTTAAGTTCCATCCACCGATTCTCGCATGCACCCGCAATTCTTTTATTTTCATCTATTATGACCTATGATTATTTTCCATAAGCATAGCATGATTATCGCGTACACGTTCCCAAAACTTTGTGTTTTTTTTTTGGACCTACTCCTATCCGTGCATCTGTTGTCATATTACACCGTGTTGTAGCTAGCTTTACATCCTCATCAGTATTTCAATTATTATTTGCACATTGGCTACTTTCAATCGGCCTTACTGTAAGGTTGCTGTGGGAACGAGTTTCACCTTGAAACAATCGAAAATGTGGATTGAAGGGTAGTGTGTATCCTGGTAAGGAACCTGAGGTGGTGCTCCAGACTGCACGAAATTCCACATATCTGGGAATAGTTTATTTATAAAAAAAAGCTATAAAAAATTTAAAAAATAGTTACAAACGTAAGAATAACTGTAATGACATTTATTTTAATTATGTAGAGTCAATTTTTACTATGTAACATTTTTGTAGTTATTGTTTGTTATTTTTATATTTTTTTTTTCATTTTTTTATTATCTAATATCCTCTTATATACAAAAATAGCA